AAAGAAAAAGAAAAAGAAAAAGAAAAAGAAAAAGAAAAAGAAAAAGAAAAAGAAAAAGAAAAAGAAAAAGAAAAAGAAAAAGAAAAAGAAAAAGAGTGTAATCCCACCAGAAACCTATGGCAACCAGCAGAGGACAAAAGATGATTTGCACAAGTTACTGGAAACCACATTAGKAGGCTTTATCACTTTTGCATTACTAGGCTTTTTTCTATTGGTATTACTAGTTTTTTTCTATTGAAATTTGACCTTTTTTTTAATTCAATATAAATCTGAAAGCTTATAGCAATAAGAGCAGAAAACATATGTACAAATCACTATTATGTTTCAGTTTCAATTAAAATGCTGAAATAAAATTTAAAAAACAATGCATTTCAGAGCTGACAGTCCACAGTATCACAAAATACTGCTGATTTTTGGACTGTCAGACACCTTATGCACGTATTTGTAGGATAACCAGACTGAGTAAACATACATATTAGAGGAGAAAAACAAATATACACACTTCAATTGACTGGGGAAAAAGCCCTGACATGATCTTATGACCCAAAATTATCCAGCTTTTACAAACAGCTTCTGAAAAGCATTGTATTTACAGTAAAAGCTGTTTTCAAGGTTTTGGAGTTCCAGCTCTCTTAGCCATATCAATACAGTACTGCAATGAAACATAAATGAGATATATTTCTAGTGTATGAGGAGAGTTACTCAAAAATGGAGAGATCCAGCAGGTCAAAACAATAAAGATGGAACTATTTTTCCATGGAAAAAGAAAAGGATTACCTTCTTTAAAAGGGAATAAGGGGAATTTTGGACACAAGCTATTAGTCTCTTATTCAAATACTGTAATTCTAGAAATAAACAGCCACGCTATGAGGCCTGCCGACTGATGGCATGCTTATATGCTACATACTCGAAGGCAAGGACATCTGAATCTCTGAGCTGACTTGCTGTGAATTACTCTAAGCATATTACATTCTTGTTTTTCAGTGCATGCAACTGAATGAACTACAAGCCAAAATAAAATAATGATAAAAACTGGGGGGAGGGCAGGGAGAAGCTGTCTTACGACAATCTTTTTTATTCATCTGAAATACGGAGGTAGCTCATTGGAATTAGCCTGACACCTGAAAAGATACTGTCTACTTACAGGAAAAGCAAAATGTGTGTTTTCCCAAAACACACATTTTCCTCCCTGTCTAAAGCAGCTCAAGCTATCAGGTCATAAACCTTCTGAGTGCCCTATTCTCAGTTATACAGGAGAGCTACAGAGAAAGCAAGTTGTGGGGAGTTAGAATTCACCAGCGGAACGGTAGGGAAAGACATCAAGTCTTTAAGGGCTAAAACGCAGGCATGTGAACTTGAGTCAACTGCCTAACCTGTTGCTGCCAACTTCCTTAAATGAAGGACACAAACTTTTCATTTGCATCTTGACAAGAAAAATGAAGATATTTTTAAAAAGTTATTGAATAAAAGAATTTTCACTCCAGGCTTTAACGGTGACTGTAATGAGGAAAAAAATATTTGCTCAGAAAACAAGCAGTTCATGCATACGGGAAGCAGCACAAGCAAGCCATTTATTTCAACATAATTATTCATCACTAAACAGCATGCACATACAACATTCAAAAGACATTGTTTGGGGCTTTTTTCTTCTGTTTCAGGACACAAGAAATTTGTATCACACTGGCTATTGAGACAGTGAATTGAACGCACAGAAAACAAGTGGGTTCACTGCTCTCAGACTGTGGCTATGTTCCTTCCTTTCTCATTGCTGAAGGCTTAGCCTCTAGTAACAAATTCCCAAGGGATCATGCAATACGAAGAATTCATGAATGAATGCATTAACAAGCACTTCCTATTGCAAGGCTGACTGGGAATTCTTTAAAACGGTTGTAAGGAGTTTACAAATCTTCATTAGTTACATAAGATGGTTAAAAARGTTCCCTTTTTCTAAATATACTATTTTGGCACTTTTGAGAATATCACAATAGACGACCCTAAACACTTCCATGAAATAGAGTTAGGGCTCTATACATACTCACCATGTACCACATGCTTGGCCACTTGGGATCATTGAAGTAAGTRGACTGAGTACCAACAGGTTTATAATCCCTCTTTATTCTTCTTTTGACCACCTGCTGTTGTATCCACTCCACCTGCCAACAAGGAAAACATTTGGTAAGTGTTAGGGTTCCATGGAGATTATCAAGAAATGTGTGAAACCTTGGGAAGCTTCCCATTACCAAAGTCCAAGATGTATTTCACATTAAAAGAGTTCATTTTGGCAGTTGGAATGCACTGCTCACCTTGGCATATAGTTCACTTGGGAATATGCCCAATTTAGTCAGTGCCACAAGTCTCCATAAGCAACTATGTAAAACTAAGAGGTTTCATTGGCTATCATCTTTTGAACAAAGCTATTATTTTATTAGTCTTCAGAATCAGACTGGGCTCCTCTTTCAAATTTATAAAAGTAACATTGAGAAACTGCTTCTCATTGACATTTCTTTAAGTTTAAGTTTAAGTTTAAGTTTAAGTTTAAGTTTAAGTTTAAGTCTTCTTTAAGTTTGTTCTTAACAACAAAATGCACAGTAGCATACTCCAATGCTTTACTTAATGAGTACTTAAGTGGCTCAAAAATGTGTTGAGAAGAAACAAATTAAGCCATATTTTATAGCAGTGTGACTCTGTGTCAAAATTGACTCATTCAGATTTTTTGGGGACTTCATTTTATCCTACAGTGCTCCCCAGAAAAAAAAAAAAAGCCGTATGTTAAATAAAACAGAGCAAACAAAATCAAACAAATAAACAAAAAAGAGCTTGAAACAGAAAAATGAAGATTAGATTTAAAAATCCACCCCTAAAAGTCAGCTCCCMAAATCCCTTCAAAGATTCATGACACATCCAGAAAAGTGACATCAGCCTTACAGCACATCATTTCTGTCTAAATGGAATGTAGTTTCTATAAATGTAAATAATATAAACTATCCACAGATGAAGCGAGGTTATATTTATATGCATATACCTTCCCTGACAGCTCATATTTCTGCCAAATTGTTTCTGAGGATATAACAGTAGAAATTCAGTTCACGTCTTCCCAGGCCAGACAGACATTTTCTACCAGCAGCCAGTTCTGCACTTTCTACTTGCGCATTTTACGAATACCCGTGCATGCACACACGCATAAATATACATAAGCAAAATTTATTATCAAATCACATATTTTTCTTTGCCACTTGTCAGGGAACCTGTTAATGCCTTCGCTTAGCAGGCTCATGTCTCCACGACACATTCCGAGCTTGTCGGGGCTCTGCAGATGACGCTCCTTCCAAGCCTTCTATCAGTTTTGGCTAACATGACTAGAAATGCTTTCAGCTGAACGTGGGGGCCAAGACCTCTACGCTGGCAGGCTACCACCACCTTAACTCGTCCCCTAGCTGCAGAAACGAACCACACGAGCACGTCACCACATCCCTAGAAGTTGTGCTGGAAGCGGTTCAAGCCRCCCGATTTCAACCCTGCACGTGCTACGGGCATAAGCAGAGCTCGCCATGGGCAACTCGTCACCAAAGCCACTCGTATCTGAATCTGCAGGGAGAAGTCAAAACCCCCCCATTCCCATCACTATTTCAGGATATGATACTGGGATAAAGATGTTCCCAAAGAAAAAAAGAATTAAGATAAACTCAGCACAAGCTGTTTACGTTTTTATCCTCCTTGCCAGTGCTAATGCCAACATAAATGCAGGAAAATTAATGGAATAAGGAAGCCATCAATACTGATATTCCTGCAAGTTAACATCACATGGCATTTAAATTGGCATGATAAAGTCCTCTGAAAAGCAGTATCATTAGCACCTGGAAGGGATTTCTGAAAGCTTCTCTGTCTCTCTTTCTTT